TTTTTGGGGTTTTTTGGGGTTTTTTTGATTTTTGGGGTTTTGGGGATTTTTTGGGATTTTTTTGGGATTTTTTGGAATTTTTTGGGGGGAATATTGGGATTTTTTTTGGTGTTTTGGGGATTTTTTTTGGTTTTTTTTCTCGGTTTTTTGGCGTTTTTTAAAGCGATTTTTGCGGTGATTTTTGGGGCTATTTCAGTGATTTTTGGGGGGGATTTTTGGGGCTATTTCAGCGATTTTTGGGGCTATTTTGGGGGTGATTTTTAGCGCTATATCCGTGATTTTTGGGGCTATTTTTGGGGCTATATCCTTGATTTTTGAGGTGATTTTCGGTGCTATTTCAGTGATTTTTGGGGTGATTTTTGGGGCTATATCCGTGATTTTTGGGGGCAATTTCAGCGATTTTGGGGGCAATTTTTAGGGCTATATCTGTGATTTTTGGGGTGATTTTTCGGGCGATTTCAGTGATTTCTGGGGTAATTTTTGGGACAATTTTTGGGGCTATATCCGTGATTTTTTTTGGTGATTTTTGGGGCGATTTTTGGGGCTATTTCAGTGATTTTTGGGGCTATTTTTGGGGCTATATCCTTATTTTTTGGGGTGATTTTTGAGGTGATTTTTGGGGCTATTTCAGCGATTTTTGGGCGATTTTTTGGGTGATTTTTCGGGCGATTTCAGTGATTTTTGCGGTGATTTTTGGGGCTATTTTTGGGGCTATATCCTTAATTTTTGGGGTGATTTTTGAGGTGATTTTTGGGGCTATTTCAGCGATTTTTGGGCGATTTTTGGGGTCATTTTTGGGGCTATTTCAGTGATTTCTGGGGTGATTTTTGGGGCGATTTTTGGGGCTATATCCTTGATTTTTGGGGCGATTTTTGGGGCGATTTTTGGGGCTATTTCAGCGATTTTGGGGGCGATTTTTGGGGTGATTTTTGGGGCTATCTCAGCGATTTTTGGGGCGATTTTTGGGGTCCCCCCCGCACTCACAAGACGTTGAACTGCAGCAGCTGCACGGCCAGGCTCTCACACAGCCCCTCCACCGCGAACTTGGAGGCCGAGTAGATGTCATTGAAAACAANTCAGGTGGAAGACGGGCCCCAGGTCGAAGAGGAGGCGGTGGAAGGTGCGGACCCCCAAATCCCCGCGGGGGTCGGCGAAGCGCAGGGCGAGCAGGGGCGAGTACAGGGGGTTGGTGGGGGTCCGGAATGGGGGGCGGGGGGCTCCGATCACCTCCACGATGGCCTGGGGGGGACACAGGTGAGGTGGACCCCAAAAAATCCCAGCCAGGTAACCCCAAAAAAACCCGAAAATCCGCCTGGAAATGGTTAAAAATCAACCCAAAAAGGCTCAAAATGCCCCCAAAAATGACCCAGAAACCCCAAAATTCCGCCCAGAATTGGGGTCGGGGGTCTCCAATCTAGAGGGGGGCACAGGTGAGGTGGACCCCAAAAAATCCCAGCCAGGTAACCCCAAAAAAACCCCAAAAATCCGCCCGGAAAGGCTCAAAATGCCCCAAAACCGCACCTAAAAACCCCCAAAATCCACTCAGGGACCCCCAAAATTGGGGTCGGGGGTCTCCAATGGGGGGCGGGGGGCTCCGATCACCTCCACGATGGCCTGGGGGGGGCACAGGTGAGGTGGACCCCAAAAAATCCCAGCCAGGTAACCCCAAAATACCCCAAATTCTACCCAAAAATGGTTAAAAATCAACCCAAAAAGGCTCAAAATGCCCCCAAAAGTGACCCAGAAACCCCAAAAATGCGCTCGGGGACCCCCAAAAATCCGCCCAGAATTGGGGTCGGGGTCTCCAATGGAGGAGGGAGAGGGACCCCAAAAAATCCCAAAAAAAACCCCCAAAAAATCCCGAAAAATCCCCAAAAAATCCCCAAAACATTCCTGAAAAAACTCCAAAAAAACCCCAAAGAATTCCCCAAAAAAAACCCCAAAAATCCCCCCCCAAAAATCCAAACAAATCCCCCAAAAATCCCCCCAAAATTCCCAAAAGAATCCTAAAAATATCCCAGAAAAATCCTTTAAAAATCCCAAAAATTCCGGAAAAATCCCAAAAAATCCCCAAAAATCGCCAAAAAAAACCCCAAAAATCACCAAAAACCCCCAAAAAATCACCAAAAAATTCCCAAAAATTCCCCCCAAAAATTCCAAAAAATTCCCAAAAAATCTCCAATAAATCACCAACATTTTCCCCAAATAATCCTAAAAAAATCCCGGAATAATCCTAAAAAAATCCCAAAAATTCCGGAAAAAATCCCAAAAAATCCCCAAAAAATCGCCAAAAATTCTCAAAAAATTCCCAAAAAATCCCAAAAAAATCCCCAAAAAATCCCCAATAATCCCCACAAAAATCCCAAAAATTCCAAAAAATTTCCAAAAAAATCCCCCCAAAATCCCCCCAAAATTCCCAAAATAATCCTAAAAATATCCCAAAAAATCCCGAAAAAATCCCGAAAAAATCCCGAAAAAATCCCGAAAAAATCCGAAAAAAATCCCGAAAAAATCCCAAAAAATCGCCAAAAATCGCCAAAAAAAACCCCAAAAAATCACCAAAAAAATTCCAAAAAATCCCAAAAAATCCCCAAAAATTTCCCCAATCCTCACCTGCGCGACCTCCTCGGGGCTCTGGCCGAAGGTGCGGAACACCTGGCGGCTGGCGGGCAGGTAAANAAATCCCAAAATCCCAAATCCCAAAATCCCAGATCCCAAAATCCCAAATCCCAAAATCCCAAAAACCCAAATCCCAAAATCCCAGATCCCAATATCCCAGATCCCAAAATCCCAGTACCACTCCCAGTATTCCCAGTGACCCCAGTACCATTCCCAGTATCCCCAGTACCAATCCCAGTATTCCCAGTATCATTCCCAGTACCATTCCCATCATTCCCATCATTCCCAGTATCTGCAGTACCAATCCCAGTATTCCCAGTACTCCCAGTATTCCCAGTCTCCCCACCTGCAGGCTCCTGGCCGTGAATGGCTCCAGGACCCTCCTCAGGTCCCAAATCCCAAACCCCAATGATCCCAATGATCCCAGTACCAATCCCAGTATCCCCAGTACCAATCCCAGTATCCCCAGTACCATTCCCAGTATCAATCCCAGTACCAATCCCAGTATTCCCAGTATTCCCAGTCTGTCTCACCTGCAGGCTGCGGGCCGTGAATGGCTCCAGGACCCTCCTGAGGTCCCAAATCCCAAACCCCAATGATCCCAATGATCCCAGTACCAATCCCAGTATC